TTCTCGAGACGACTGCTATGTGCACCAAGAGCGGTTGTCCGAGGATGCATTCGAGGGGTATGGTGGGACTAAGCATCGAGTACTGGACGGAGAGACGCCATGTCATCCCCAAAGCACCTGAGACGACACGCTACTGCGAGAACATGGAGAAGGCCTGGTCGATTCTCATAGGCTGCAAGGCATTGGATGGCGACTTGTTCCCTCCCGCCCGGCTTTCTGAGAATTGGATTTCCCAAAAGGTCGAGAAGACCGAGCCTGGACCCGAGGATCTGCTCGTTGCAGCTTCTGGTCCGGCTCTTGACTGGCTGGAACCGGAGCCTACGACGCTGCCACAGACGGACGACAATAAGGATTCGGGCATCGACGTGGTGCAGGCGGATGGCACGACGCACAAATACCCGAACGTCAAGTTTGTCGCGACGCTCACTCCCTCAGTCATCGTGCCGCAGTCAGTATGGAACACATTGCACACCCTGACCGGAGCCCAGGCTCAGCCTATGCCTCTGCCGACCTACACGTTTGACAGCATATCTTTCCCGATACCTGAAGGAAGTCACCATGACGCAAGCGAGCTTAGAGTCATTTCTTGCGAGAGAAGAGTTCCGATTCCGAGCAATGATAGCACAGTCTCATCCCGGAAACACAAGAATACGCTACTTATCTACAAACCAGTGTATGGGCAGACAGTCACTGAACTCTCATTCTCTCACCCACGGCAGCTGGTAGCAATGCTACCCATCCTTCGTCAGTATGCACTGATCTCGACGTTGTTAGAAAGAAGCTTCGGTTCTGATATCTCGGGCGAGGCTCTGCCCGAGGTTCATGAGAACATCACGATGAGTGATACCACAACGACGCAGGCTGAATACGAGAGATTTATGTCCAAGAGCTATGACGAGAATGAGCAGGAGCTTACTCTAGACGTGGTGCTGACTGTCCATCCCTCTGCTGGTTTGCATATCGTCTTCCCCTTCCGCGGCGCAACGGCCAACGTGGATCTGCAAATTCAGCAGAATGGAGTGGTACACGTTGTGTCACAGAACATTGTGCCGGTCGACGGTAGTGACGCGGCAGAGATGGGCAAGGGCAAGGGCAAGCAGTTTACCCCGCAAGACTTGGGCAGGTTGCTTGAGGTGATGGAGGATCTCTGCTCCTGGGCAGAATGGATTCGAAAGAACCTGTCGTAAGCTTGCTCTCTGCCGAGACGGATGATCGAGATCGATGGAAAGGAGGGGAAGATCGATCACAAAAGGACCACGGCCGGTAGAAGCTTATGACGTATGAATGGGCTTTTGGGGGATTTGTTTTTGTTCTGTATAATTGATACCCAGGCGGGATCAACGGGGGCCCCCAAGTTGACCCCTCCCGTCTTTTTCTCGCCAGACAAGGAATGGGAAGTGAGCTTCTGAGTTATCTCTCACCCATGGATACGGACCTTTGGCAAAAGGCAAGGCTCGAGGATGGGAGACAGATGTGCGATGCAAGCTGCATGGTTTGGGGTTGGTTCGGTCCCGAGGCGTTGGGTCTTGGGTTTCTTTGGGTTTGACGGCGGGGGCAAGGTTGGCTTTTCGCCCACTTGGTTTTAGGCTGCCCGACGACGTTCAAGAGGAAATACCTACTTAGTCGATAGTGTGAGCCCAAACAAAGGGAACCACTTTGGTAAACATGGACCAAGCTATGAGGCGGTTAATGCCCACTTGTTCTCCAAGCTTCACACTCTCACAAACTTGTGCATGAAGAAGAAGTCTCAAAGAAGAAAAGTGTGATAATGACGTTTCTTTTGCCGAGGTAGTCTTGCTCGGTAGATCCAGTGAGTTTCCCGGCCGCCCGGCGGGAGACCATCTTTAGCGTGCATGGCTCTGTGAGATGGGGATATGGTTGCGGGTGCGGTTGTTGATGTTGATCTGTTGATGTGATCGACAGGTCTTGCTGCCTTACCGAGAAGCCGCAGCCTGCTGTGACGTTGTGTTTTTGGACACTAGTGCCACTTTCTTCCCTGTGCCCCCGCCGTCGTGCCCGTCTTCCGTACCCGTGTGCCTCCCTCCCAATGGACTTACACACGTTGAATTTTGGGCATCTCTTAGATGTGGGGCGATGATGATGGGCTGGATGCCAGTGGTGAAGTCAAGTTCGGATCGTCGATGCCTTGCAAAAACTTGCAAAACTTGCGAGAGAACCCTGCAAAGACCCTGAGAGACCCTGAGAGAACCCCTTGATGTTTTGGATTGCGAGATTGGGTCTCTTTAGCTTTTCGGGGTCTCTGGGTCGGAGTGAGAATGGCCTGGCCTGGTATGGGTGGGATTGGGCTTGGGCTTGAAGGGGGTTTGAGTCAATATGACCAGCCTTGAGAGAGGAAGGGGTCACGAGGTTCGAGGCTCGGCATGGTTATTGATGAGAGGGCGGTCAATTAGGGAGAAGTACCCGGGGACACCGGATGGGAGGCAGGGCTGGAAGAGTCGATGCTTTCCACCTCGTCATCCTCTTCATTCACAATGTTGGATTTCTTTGCCTACCTGTCACCACGACCTAACCATACTTACCGTGTTTGCCGCGTTGGAGAGCAAGTGTTGCAACAATCTTGTCCTGGCACAAAGGCCTACCTGAGACGAGGCCTGTTCAAGACAACCCGAATAGGAGACATTGTGATATATAGATACAAGTGACGAGGATGCATGGGTTGGAGAAGCAAGGCGGATGAGACGGGTGATACGGCGACGTTCTGTCGTCCGGTGGCGGCGCCGTTCGGCGGCCCACAGCTGTCCGGGCGCGCATACCTAGACGGGGGGCGAACGATGGGTTCGAGGTTGGCTTCGTTTTCCTTGTGCTGCGTTGGCTTCTGCTAGGCTACCCGGCAGTTTGGGTACCGAATTTTTCCTCTTTGTCCGAGTTTTCCCGCCAAGCAATTTGATTGGACGTAGTTTGCGGCGGTTAGGTGCTTGGTAGTCCGGATACATCTTGAATATCGGAAAGCTGTTTCTTTTTCCATGTGTTGTCTTGACCATCTGGGTATGATTATTTGAGAATTGGAAGCCTCATGTCTAACATGGTGACCCTAATGGAGCAGATGGGAAGGCAGTTTGGCCCCCCTCTTCCCGTCCAGGTCCAGGGCTTCAATTCGTGTTGGTTCTGCTTCGGGAGTCTGTGCTGTGCCAGTTGCTGCTGCAGAAGGATCCGAGGGGGCGAGGGGGAAAGGGAGGGGCCTAAGAGGGTCTTTGGAGGGGGGAGGAATTCCAGTATCGATAGGAGATTTTTTGTGGTAGTTTATTGTTGTTGACAGCAAATCAATAAACAATGGGAAAGTCAACAAATCGGATACTCCAAACAAAACTAGGACGGGAGATCCGATTAATCTGGAGATGGACGGGGTAAGAGGTCACCCCACACAACCGATCACCCTTTTTAGCCACTTTTTCCTTCCTTTAATACCACCACTACTTTCACTAAGTACATTAAAATCAACCAAAAAAATCGCAAATATTATACTAAAATTACTAATAGGTTCTAAATAGTTAATTATACGGAAAAATACGTCAAAAACGCATTTAACAACGTCTACTACGGTAAATCGATCTAGAAGTCCTCCATAAATTAGGGAATCCCCTATATAACGCTCTTAGGCCGTATTAAAGGCGTAATTACGAAGCGTAAATTAAAGGAAGATTTCTAAAAGTTAAGTAAGTATTATAAGACCTCCCTAGTACAATAGGCAATTATCTAAGGAGAATTAGGATTTGCCCCGACCTATGCTTAAGTATGAGACTTTACGATGCATATTTTCTAGAAAGTAACAATAACTACTTATTAGGTAAGAAGTAGTTTAAGGGGTTCCTATATAGGAATTCCTTTTTAAAGATGTTTAGGATATAGTTAATAAACTCTAAGCGTATTAAGTCGGTTACCGTTAAGACTTTATAAGCTTTTTAAAATATCCTAATAATCCTAGAAATTTAAAAGATCCTAATATCCCTCTATTAAAATATAAACAAAATAGGTTTAACAGAAGGGACTAATAAGGATTATTTAATATTAAGTAAGTTTAAAAAGTAAACGATCTATATCTAGAACTTAGGGGATCGGATATAGATTTTAATATTCGAATATATTTTTATTAATAGCCGTTATCTTTTATTATTAGTTATTTTTAAGGGCAAGACGGTCTAATATTAGTAATTTCTTAAGGATTTAACGAATTATACCTCTTAGAGCTTTATATCGTTAATTAATAAGTAGATTTCGAATATAATTAGGTTAAAATAATTTATAAAGGTCTTTATATCTAATACGATAAAAAAGGCTAAAAGATTATATTCTAAGTAGTTTTTAATTATTAACGGCTATAGAAGTTATATTTTTAACGATTTTATATAGCAATATTATTTTTAAGGTATTTATTTATATTATTTACTAGCATATTCTAGTTATATTATATAGCCCTTAAATATATCTATCTTCTCGCTACTTAAGATTATTTACCGTAAACTTATTTATAAATACGGTTTTTAACTTAACTTAGTACCTATAAGGAAGCGGAACTTTCTCCGCTATTACTTTTAAGTACGGAAAAAAGCTTTAATAAATCGAAATATATATTCTAGATAGAAGATAGTAAGGTTATAGCCCGTAAATATAAGCTAGCTATTAAAGAACCTATTATTCGTTATTCTTATAACTATAAATATTCTACGGGCCCCCCTATAAGAGCCTTTACTTTTAAAGGTCCTTAAGATACCCTAAAAACACTATATTATTATACTTAAAAAGTCGGGAGATCTTAAAAGATACCGGTAGCTCTAAACTAGCCATAAAAATAAAGATAATTATAACCCTATAGTACGGTAACTTATATTTAATAAGGTTAATAAATAATTAAATACCTAGAACTTTACCCTAACTAATACCTAAATAATAATAAAGGTACTAGAAGCTTAAATTAGATTATATAAGCTAGTACTAAAGGCAAAAGTTAGGCAGGATCTAAATGAACGATTTGTATAAATTAAGGCTATTATAAAGATAAAAAAGGAGGTCGTAGCCCATATTACGTAGTAGATTATAGAACTAACGGCAGTATCTAGTATATTAAAAGCTACCTTTACTAGTATATATTCGGAATTTCAGCTTTAGTAGCGTTATGCTATTAAAAGACTAATTCGCTATTATGAAGTCTAGAATGCGTAGTCTTAAAAAGTGGCCAAAAAGGGTGATCGGTTGTAGGGGGTGATCGGTTGTGTAGGGTGACCTCTTAGGAGATTGGCAGAGACAGCAACGACGGGTACGGATATCGCTTGCCTGATTAGATAGAAGGCAAGGTATCCATCTATATCGTACGGATACCTTGGCTATCCGTACGGATAGATGGCTCCGCGAAAAGTGTCCACGCAGATTGCAGACTGTCAAAAAGAGGAGCCGCTTGATCTACTTTGTAGTGTAGCAGTAAGGAAAGGGTGGGCTGGCCATCTTTTACCCATAGTGCTTGGCGGCCGCCAAACATTTACAACTTACGGACACAGCACCGTCAAACGGGCTATTCGGAAGTCTGCGGTTCATCGTCGAGAACCGAGGACATTGCTTTTATCATGGCGGGCCGCGGCTGCGCAATCTGCGATGCTGCATCATATTGGAGATTTGACACACAGAAGGATGCCGATGGGGTTCACCGTTCAGCTGCGCTGGTCCACTCACTTACACCCAATTTCAAAAGTCATCCCATCTTTTCTTTCGTTCTTGGTGTGTTCCGGCTCCTGAGGAATATTGGTGTTACCTTGGCTGACACCTGCCCCTTACCTCGAACTCTTTTTGACTTGCATTCCCGTCTCCTTTGTGTTGCAGCGGCGAGTCGTTGCCGTCTTTTGGGGGAAAGGGGTCCTCCCTTCCCGTATCTGTTCCAGAGTTGCCGCCGCCGTCCCAAGGACATGCGGAAGTCTGCTGAAAGACAGAGACTAGAACTGCATCTGAAGGTCAAAGAGTGCCTGAGCTTTTCGAGGCTCGAACGGGGATCCAAGCTCAGCTCCTCCCCCTCCCCCGCCCTAGTTCTTCTGACTTGCCCGCATGGTGGGCCGAAGGAGAAAGGCGTGCGTGGTCTTGACTCTCTTCGCGGTACGCCCGTTTTATTTTTGAAAAGCGGCCCGTTGAAGAGCTCCAGTTTTGAATCACTGAGAAGGGGCAGAGGAACGAAGAATAGAGAGAAACACCAGTTTCTTCTTAGAGGAAACCTTGTAAAGCCGCTGCCGCACACCAAGGTGTTTGACCTTTCCCAAACGTTCCAGGAGCTTCAACGTTGGCTGGTGGGCAGCAAGGAAAAAAGAGATTCGAGGCAGACGAGGGGCCGGGGAGGAGGCTCCAGGTTGTCCCAGATTCGCTAGCCCGGCGAGCTCGACCGTGCCCTCGATTCTCTGAGATGTCATCTGGCATCTCTACGAGTCTAGTCGTTGTCAAGGAGTGCTTTGGGCAGCTTGCGGTGCTCTCTCTCTCGTTCTCTCCAGACTTTCAGTGAAGCGAGATGACGCGGTCACAGGCATGAAATCGTAATATCAGGTGCAATCAATCGCTGACCCTGCTGCTTTCCCCTTTGAGATCGGAACCTGCGAGCGATACTGTGGAGAGCCTGGTCGATATGTTGGGAATATTGAACTATAGGCATGCTGCATGATGAATGGACCGGACAGCTGGGAAGGGAATAATTGGTGAGGCAAGGTTGATGGCTGTCCGCTGTCGCCCTGTGTGCCAGTGTGTGGTGGTCATGACGGTGATGACGACCAGTAGTGTAAGTGTGTGTGTGAGGTAGGTACCTGAGGCGAGGTACCACTGGGTTGTGTTGACGAAGTATTTGTTTTGGTGTTTTTGTTTTGTTTTGGTTCCCGGCTGTGGCTTGTCGCGTTTGTTTAGTGGCCTGGCTCCATCGGCCATGGATCAGCCGTCTTTTCTATTTTGATGATGAGCCCACCTTTTCCCGCTGCCCGACAGGCGGCTCGCCAATGTGATCACTCGTGTCCGAGACGCAAATAATATTGTACAGCCCGAGAATGACGAGTTGGAAGGAAAGAGAAGGAAAGAAAAGAAGCGTTCCTGGCTTCTGCTGCGTCTCGATGGAGTCCAGAGTGAACAAGTGGCAGTTGAGTCGTGGCTATGAGACCGAGGGGAGGGGGCCCTCTTTGGCACTGCAGCGACTACTGCAGCGTGTGTGACTGCATGTTGGGCCTGGCAAGCTGGATCTTGGACGAGGCGAATAGGCGTGAGGCCCGTCCTGGGGGAAGAGATGAGTGTACTGGAAGATTTCCGTGTAAGAGGAGCGCAAGCCTCGTCTGGTCTTGGTTGGACCATGTGGTGCGGATGCTTGCTGTACGTCGGGGGACGCACAGGACAGTGGACAGGAGACGAGATGGATCAGTCCCGCACATTGTGCATTCTCCCAGTCGGCCAGACTCGATTGTCCAATACGTCTCCAGAGCGTGTTGATCTCCCTCGTTGTCTTGCCCATATTTTCCTCTCTACGTAGTAAAGTCTGGTGAGGAGGTTCGGGCTGCAGGAGACTTCAGACGCGTAGGCGGGACCCTGCAGGTAGATGGAAGTATTCAACCAATAGATGGTGCTTGCAGACCTCCAAAAGGGCACCCCCCCCCCGGCTTCAATCTTGGGGGGGTCCCCCGGCGTCTTTGGATGCCAGACCGTTGGGTAAGTTGGGTTTAGTGATGTCAGGGTTAGAAAGAGGTCGTGGATCTGTGTGTTTGTTGGCTTGTGACTAGTGGGCAGTCAGCATGATAGCGAAGGACAAGACCTGAGAGCAAGACTCGATCCCAAAGTTGGGTTTCATCACGAAGAAGCAAGACAAGTTTGCAGCCTCGAGATTCTTCAGTTGAGACGCTGCATGTCTAGACCTGGGTGATTAAATTTTGTTTTTCTCTTTTCCCCCAATCCGGGACCTGCATCTGCGACCTTGTGGCCTCTTGAACGGCTTCAGCTGCGGTCTTGCTCTAACAGACCGGATCCACTTTGAGGCGCGTAGTCACGTGTATGTCTAGCTGGTTTGGGAAATATTGTAAACAACACACACACGCCACGCGCGCCATCGCGAAAAGAAGCAGCGACTTTCCCAGTGTCCACATCTGCACGCCCTTTCTCAGTTCCTCCCCCCCCCCCCCCCCCCGTTCCCGTTCCAGTCTTTCCCAGAGCGTCCAGTCAAAGTTCTCGCCTTCACCAGCAAGAAAAAGTCTCCATCCTGACTACGATCCCCCGGCTTGTGCGTGCCATCCCTCTGCCTGTCTTCTACGTAGGTACCTACGGCTTGCCTGCATCGACCATCCATTCATTCATTACCTGCCCGGTCGTGGTCTCTTAGTCTTGACTCTTCCTGCCCATCTTTCGCCCGCCCGCGCCCAGTGTCCCACACGCAGCAAGTCACAAACCCACTCGACTCGCGCTGCGCTGCGCTGCGCTACACCTTTCGCACTTACACCCGCAAACCCGCAACCCAACTACCACCCACTTCACCCACCCGCTCGCTCTTGACGCACACAACCCGACGCACACACTCACCGCGCATCCTCCTCTTCCCCGAATCCTATTTGCGCCTACCTCTCTCCTACCCTCACAACTCCTTCCATCCCCTTCCCGTTTTGTCTGTTACGTCTATCTCCTTGCCGCGTTTCCAAGTTTTTGGTCCTCTTCCCGACAAAGTCACCCTACCTTCCCCCAGGGTCCTTTTCGCCACTCGCACGCGCGATTCTCTGTCTCTCATCAGACGACGGGGACGCAACAAGAAGCCGTCTACCTACCCTTCCTTCATGCGATGACTTGAGAAAGTCGTCCGCCGATCACGAATCGCCAACTGAAGCGGAATGAAGATGCGAAGCAAGACGCATATCTGAACGTTCCTGCTCGACTTTGACCAAAACTACCCCCCTCAGACTTTAGCGCCATGCAGTAGGTGCACTTGCGCTCCCGTCCCGTCCCTTCCTTCTCTGTCTGCCTACGTGCCTACCTACTCTGGCCTCGCCTCGTCTTGTCCTCCTGCCTGGACCCTCTTCTTCCTCCTTTTCTTTCAGCCTTCTTTTCTGCAACATCGCGTCCACACCCATCATCACACCAAGAACGAGGGCGCCCTTTCCGGCTGACCAGGCCACTTCGCCTCGTCCACGTGTAACCAGTACTGGCTCAAACACACCTTGGACCCTTAAACACTCGTCCAGTCCTATCACCATCTTGGGATAAACCCCACGAAAACAACGACGACAACGACCTCGTACTCCCTACCCTGCGCGCCTTGGGACTGCTGCCCTCGCCTCTCGTACTCGTAGTCAGCATCCCTCCGATCGTCGACGGAACGCCAGAACAACACGCGCTCTACCTAGCCTTCACCTCCAGCACCTACGGCATATCACCATCGACCGCGCTTTGCTCTACCACCTACCTACACCATAGGTTCATCAGCGGAACAGTATACAACGACGAATACCAGCGACAGATTGTTTGGAACAAGGATTGATTCATTGCTTGCTGAGCACACCTACCGCCTACACAATCACATCACTTCCTACAAGTGAATCAGCTCTTTGTATTTCGACAGCGAACAACAACACCAGAAGAAAGACAACCAATCATTACGACACCCAAGAACACCTTCACCATGTCGTTCTCCAACAGCAGTGGCGGGACACTCACTGTTCCCAGCCCCACGCACGTCCATCATGTAGATGTGCTCGCATCATCAGTCAGGAGCCTGCGAAGGTCCCTTTCCCGATCACCTTCAAAGTTCAGCCTGGCGCGTACGAACTCCCCCAGCTCAGAGAGCTCACACAGCGGTTCCCATACACCTGTGCAAGAACAATCGCCCTGCCGACGATACACTCCTACCCCTACGCCTCCCAGTAGCAGCCACAACAACATCAACTTTGGGGATTTCCAGAGCCATACACCAGCGGGGCTTCCTCCCTCTATGACCTCGACAACGCCCTTTAGCTCTCCACCAACTCTTGCCACACCCTTTCGCCCCAGCGTTCGACTTTCTCTTCGTTCGGCGAAATCCTCAAAGGCAACCGGCAGCCCCTCGAGGCCAGCGACTCGGTTAAGGACGTCGCCTAAATCCCCCCTCAAACGCGCGCTCAACGCTACAACAGAATCGGGGGTAAATTCCACTCCTTCCTCATCTTCAAGCTCGGAGGCCTCGGGCCAGGAAAATAACCAGTCTTCTGCACAACAGAGTCCGCATTCCCGATCGTCGCTCCAAAAATCATCACGCCATAGCCTTCATCTCGACGTATCCGGCCACGCTCAGCAGTCGAATATTTTCAAGCATCTGGAAGGCCAGGGCGATTCGCAAGGAGCACCGGGGTCCGGCGCTCTCAAGCGCAGCGACGCGATCATGAATCTCGATCAGGCATCGCTAGGTAGCCCCGTCGCGAAGCGAAGGAGTTTACACGGTATTTCAAGCTTTGGTCAAAACACATCTGATTTCACCATTTTCGACAATACCAGCAGCACGCCGAGCAAGTCCAACTTTGACATCCATGACGAGGCGAATCGTGAGCGAGAGTACGAGCTCTTTGGCTCGCCAAGTGTTCCTGCTCCGAGAGAGCCCCTCCCATCGCCTACCCCGCCTCCTCAAATTCCCAGAAGAACCGGCTCTCTGCGACGTTCAACGCTGCAGCAGAGACAGCATGATCGAAGCTCGTGGGGACGCAAGTCTGGCGCGAGCCACTTGGCTCAGATGAGCGGAGATTTCTCTACTCCCAACGTCAAGAACAGGCCCCGCCTATCGATGGATCAGTTTCTCCCCCCTCAGCTCCCTCGGGATAGCCCCTTCAACTCAAACGGGCCTCTGCCCAATCCCTCTGCCCATCCCGTTGAGCGGTCTTCGCATCAGCCTCATCCGCTGTCAAAGACGCTGGTGACCTCGACGTCTGGTAACAGCCTCGAGGAGCAGAACAACAGCATGCCTCCTCCCTACGTCTTTGAGAAGCCACGAGCTCCGCTCAACTTCGCCAAGTCGATGCCCTACGGTTCTTCTCGGCCACTCTTCATGCAGGAGGAAAATGAGACTGTCACACCTTTCAAGGCAGCTAAGCCATGGGCGGGAGCTTTCATGTCTACCGGCCTCGTTTCGAAGGTCAACCGCAACCCGGAGGAAGACAACAAGCTCACGATGCCTGATACGCCCTGCAAGAAGCCTACTAACGGCTTTGCCACCTTCCCACCTCCGCCTGGAAGCGCCATCAAGAAGAACAACCGTTACTCTTTTGGCGGTATGCCTTCGACTCCGTTCGTTGCCCCTGGTGCTCCGTCACGCAGCACGTTTGGTGGCAATCCCGGAAAGGGTCTCGGCATCTTCCAACGGCTCGGATCGCGCCATGCACGCAGAGGCAGTGTCCTGAGTCTGGATGATGATAAGAAATTCTCCCTCGACACGAACTTTAACATCGGCCTTGGGGCTGAAATCGACGCCCCTCCTACCCCCACGAAACATGGACTCACACCGAGCAAGGGTCTCACTCCCAGCTTGAGCAACTTGAGCGAGCAGAGCATCGAAAGCCCCAGCGCTAAGAGGTCACTTCCACCTCCAATGTCAGCTGTGCGGCCGATGATCTCTAGAGAATCTACTGGTATGTATACCGCTCAGGAGCGGTCTGACGACAAGAGTGCCAGTTGCCCCCTCCCGAGTTCCCCGCTCGGTTCAATTAGCTCTCTTGCCGATGGGCTGTCTCCTACGCAGCGTCTTTCTTTGCCGTCGTTTGGTCGGTCGAGGTCTGGAAGGGGGTTTAGTGCTCCTTCGCCATTGCGGACCCGACTCTGTACCAGCCCAGCGGATTGTGATCATCAAAAGGACATGTTGGCTAAGATTACTCCTCACCATATAGCTAGCCCTGTGGAACAACGCTCCCCAAGAACTCCCTCGTCTCATGTTGTTCTTCCCGATGCCAGCTGCCTGTCAATCTCGAACCCGGCCGAGTCAACGCGGAGCACGACTACCCCGGTCACCCCATCTGGCCGGGAGTCCTTCCAAAGCACTTCGACACATCTCATGACTCCCGTCAATGCCAGTCGTGGTGGTGGCGACGTCGAAGACTCACTCTATTCCCGCTTCGACAAGGTTGAGATGACTGGCAAGGGAGAGTTCTCTTCTGTCTACCGCGTGGTCAAGAACGGATACTCCCGCGCCTCGTTCCTCTCTGTATTTAGTGGAACACCGACGAAGAACCCCCGCGAGAGTCCCGAGCCCGATCGCATCTACGCGGTAAAGAAGGCACGCCGCCAATTCACCGGACCCAAGGATCGTCTGGCCAAGCTCAGAGAAGTGCACGCGCTCCAAGCTCTGACGCACGCAGACCACGTTGTCCACTATGTCGACAGCTGGGAATACAACCAATACCTTTACATTCAGACCGAATACTGTGACGAGGGTACCTTGGACAAGTTCTTGAGCAACGTTGGTCGCAAAGGCCGACTGGATGACTTCCGTATTTGGAAGGTCATCCATGACATTGGCTTGGTAAGTAATAGTTGCCCTGTTTCTGTTTCTGTTTCTGTTTCTGTGACGACTGATGACTAACTTCGAGACAGGGTCTTCAAAGCATTCACGAAGCTGGTTTCATTCATCTCGACTTGAAGCCGGCGAACATTCTCATCACATTTGAGGGTATCCTTAAGATTGGTGACTTTGGTCTGGCTACTGAGTGGCCTGCTGCCAAGGGCGTCGACGCTGAGGGAGACAGAGAGTACATTGGCCCGGAAATCCTTCGCGGTGATTTCAACAAGCCTGCAGACATCTTCTCACTCGGTCTGATTCTGATTGAGATGGCTGCCAATGTCGTCCTTCCCGATAACGGCCCT